GAACGAAGGGTATTGTGGATTCAGCGNTGATAGTAGCTATAACTTCTACACACTTATAGGTAAATTATTGGTGTCTTTCCACAACATCTTTTCATTAGAAACGGCCTCAAAATCAATAAAAATTGTTGAATTGTTGTTAAATAACAAAAACAAATTTTAAGAAACTTTTTATTAAAATAGCCTAATGGTGACAACATCTAATGGGTACCACCTATTTAAAACAAATAAATGCGAGAGCCATTTAGGGCCAGTTTTTCAGTACATGGCCGTGGTTTCAACTAAGTTTAAACGCCCGATCTGGCTGGTTTAAACTAAGATCAGCCAATCAAATGTCAGCCAGCTGTTCAATTTTAACTCAGTTTACTTAATCTAATATGCATTGGATCTTGACCCCTTTCGATGAAAGGATTGCGTGCACTTTATGAAACTTATGTTTTATGAAACGTACGTTTTATGTCAAGTACTATATTTGCACCTTACACGTTTTTGTTCTAAGAATGTATTTTATCAGATTTTGTATGCTTATTATTTACTTTTTGAAATGTAGAAAATAAAAAAATTACACTAGCGAGTATTGTGGTTTATTTGTATAGTGTCAGCCATTGCNTGTATGCTTATTATTTACTTTTTGAAATGTAGAAAATAAAAAAATTACACTAGCGAGTATTGTGGTTTATTTGTATAGTGTCAGCTATTGGTGCTAATAATTTTATAATATTTTATTATTTTTATAAATTTTTGGAATCATGGGAAAGATATATTTTTGCACAAGAATTTAATGTACAGATAGAGGGTGACGTGGTCGACGACGCAAATAAGCTGCTGGAAGGCATGCTGATCGCTGACCCATCTGCTGACCCAAATTGAAAATGGGTCTGAAGGTTGTCCAGATTAACCTCCAGCACTCGAGGCTGGCCTCTGACAACCTTTCCGTCTTCCTGGTGGAGGAAGACATCGCACTCATTCAGGAGCCTTGGGTATGGAACACCGAGGTTAAGGAGCTGCACCTGAATGGATAAGAGGTCTTCTACAAGAAATCGGACGTTAAGCCTAGATCTTGTGTTGTGGTTAAATCTAAATACCATACTTTTTTCATCCCTTCCCACAGCTCATCGGATCTAACAGCTACGAGACTCGAAGCGGCTGGTGGTACCAGCATGGTCATCGCCTCGTGCTACATACCACACAACGAGGACGCACCACCGGATGTGGTTAGTAGTCTAGTGGAGAATTAAGGTGGACAACTGGAGGGTACCTGATCGGAAATCATTTTCTGATCATAGGTACATACTATTCAACTTATCGGTTAGCCAGAATGCTTCCCTTCCTTTTCGTTACCCAAAGAGAACAAACTGGCAGCGGTTCGCCAGTGTGGTCAGTAACAAACTTGGGAAACATCACAATAGTAATTTAACGACCTCGGAAGATATAGAAACCAAGTACAACAAATTCGTAAAGGATCGGCCTTTAAAGTGTCCTGCCCCGTAAGCTCGGGCGGAAAAAATATCCTTCAACTTAAGCTATTCCACGGGCAACTGGCAGACCAATAAAGATAGCTTGAGAATTTACAAAAAAGCAATTCTCAAAGCAAAACAGGAATCCTGGAGGGACTTCTGCTCTTCTATAGAATCAACGAAAGAATCCGCCAGAATAGGGAGGATCCTATACAACGAACACAACAATCGTTCCTTCCAAAAAAAGGAAGATGGAGGTTGGACCAATAGTTCTAAGGAGACATTAGAACTCCTTCTTCGTACCCATTTTCCAGGCTGTGACCTAAATCAGGCCTCAGGGGTATATAGCAACGTAGCGGCACCATCCATTAATGTCGTTAACGAAATAATCACGCGGGAGAAGATTGCATGGGCAATTAACAGTTTCTCTCCGTACAAATCTCCGGGCCCGGTCATGGGTTGTTTCATGGCTAGAGAGCATTTTCAAAGCATGTTTAATGCTCAACTATGTTCCGTCTACCTGGCAAAGTGTTAAAGTAGTTTTCATTCCCAAGGTAGGCAATAGAGGACACACGGTGCCTAAGCACTTCTGACCCATCAGTCTCTCGTCTTTTGTACTAAAAACTTTCGTGCGGCTATTGGACATGCACATTTGTTCGAAACTAGGCAATGGAGAATTGTCTACTGCACAGCATGTTTACCTTAAAGGGCGCTCCACATAACCTGCGCTCCATGAGGTCATACATAAGGTAGAGGCATCGCTGAAAAATAAACAATATACATTGGCGGCCTTCCTGGACACAGAAGGGGCGTTCAACGTCAACCTGGAGGCGATAGAGCAGTCACTCAGAAACCTGGAGATTGAGAACTTCAGTCAACCAAAACGGGGGACTCCGCAAGGCGGGGTGCGGCGACAGTACTAAGCAATATTCTTCTAAGACTCAACAGGGAAGGAGTCAAATTGTCGCGTTTGCATATGATGTAGTGATTATGGTATCCGGATTGTGCATAAATGTGATAAGCGAAATGATTCAAAGAGCTCTAGGGGGTTAATCCCTCGAAAACCGAATTAACTTTAACCTACCTTCTTAAACGGGCATACTCTTTCTCTTCCCCTTTACGCTAAGTATTTGGGAGTCATTCTCACACCGAAATTAAATTGGAAAATTAATACAGAGTACCGAGTAAAAAAGGCCTATGGTGCTCTGTGTTCCTGCAAGAAAATGTTGGGTAAGAGGTGGAACCTACGACCTGATCTTATGCTATGGATGTACAAGGCGGTGATTCGCCCAATTATTGCATACGGTTCGCTGGTTTGGTGGAAAGCCGTAGGGATAAACTACATACGCACAATGTTAGGCAGGGTACAAAGGTCAGGATGCATTGCGATTACTGGTGCGATCAGATCATGTCCAACGGAAGCATTGAATGTCATCTGTAATCTGGCGGAGCAGGGGCCGCCAAATCGAAGAGTCTATTCGATTACCAAATTCGGCCAGTGTTTTTCAGGCAGAGGTATTTGCCATAAATGAGGCGTGCAAAATAATTTGAGCCTCGAAGCTAGCGAGAACCATGATTCAATAATACAAGGTTGGATAACCTGGCAGTTGTCTCGCTCCCGCATTCTACCTTAGCCCGTGTTGCTTTCTTTTTTGATTTATAGAAACTACTACTAATATACAAGGATAAATATTGTCTTCGTATAAAAAGTTAAACAGGAAACACTGCCGATGTTTTCATCGATTGCTTCGTGGAAATTGAGTTTCTTATCGCGCAAATTCAAGTAAGTATGCCAAAAAAATCAAAAATAATAAACTATTTTGAATTAAAACAATAATTTACATATTTACATCTTTGCAGAGTATCGGAGTTATTCAAAAATTGTATTCAATAACCTGCGTTTCACAGCAAGTGCAGCCATTGCTAGTAAGTTTTGTGTGCTAGGATCTCTGTGTGTCCGTCAACGTTTGACTGGTAATTACAGCTGCAGCGATTTATTCGAAGAAGTGCAGCCGTTGCATACTTACAAGTAAGTATACCACCCCATAAAAGTGAAAGTGTAAATATTAATAAAGATTTTTTCTTGTGCAGGTCAGGATCATTTGTGTGTCCGTCCACCAAATGTAATTCAACTTAAGATATTGAACATGTAATTTTTAAATGAAAAAATATATAATAATTTTTAAAAGATTAATTTGTATACATTTATATCGCCGTCTTCAAAAGAGTCGCAACTCAAAATAATACGTTTGTCAGAAAATGCGAAAAACTATTTCTTAGCACATGATAATCATATGGGCTAGGGCGACTGTGCTTTAGGTTTTTTTTAACAAATTATAACAAAAATTTGCTCCAGCTTTTGCTGAAAGGTAAATAAAAGCTCAGTGTAAATTTTTAGCGCATAATCTCAAAAATGCCAAATTTTGAGATGTGACTCTTTTGAAGACGGTGTGCGATATGTTCCCTTTGAATAAAAGATTTGCTTGAATTCCATTAATTTTGTTTAATATATACTGGAATTTTAATGAAACCACAGCAGAATTCATGGCAACGAGATGGCTGACGAGCTGGCCAGGAATGGGTCGGCTCTAGATATATATCTATATCAAGAGCCTTATCCCTCAGCACTGGAAAAATGTGGCTAACAGTGGGTGGAAAAACCTACAATCCTGTAGGGTCTGCAGGAGTCTGTGGCCCACCTACTGCGCAAAACGCACTGCTTTTCTTATCAAACTAAACAGGAGGGATCTATCTCGACTAACTGGCGTTTACACAGGCCACTGGGCCGTCGAAATATATGCTGCAAGATTAGGACTGGAGCACAATACTTCTTGTCGTAGTTGTAAGTCACCAGATGCAGAAAAAACGGTGGAGCATCTGCTCTGCGATTGCCCAGCACTATGTAGGACTAGAATCAGACTTCTAGGCAAACCCCGCTTTTGCGGTTTAACAGACATATGTGATATTAACCCACTGCAACTTCTTAAGTTCTTGAACTCCACATGCTGGGTTTGAGATATATAACCGACTTCTGCTGCTTTCTTTTAGGGTTTTCTTTTCAGGTTAAATTGCGAGTAGTGGTTTTAAAACGGCACGCACAAGTGCTAATTGGAGTTGTTAAACTTCAACCAACCAACAGCCAGGACGGTTTTATCACCTTTTGTTTCTTTGCTAGAGCTTCTAAAATAATGCAAAAAACGCAATTTTTTTACACCTTGACCTGGTTTTTTATTTTCAAAATCTGGAGCTGATGAAAACTTAATGCTTACGCATTCGTAATCAGCACAAAAATGTCTATCAAAAACACCGTTAACATTTGCCGTACCCAAATTTTTTTCCGTTTTCGTTGGGCTGTGCTATCCATTAAAAATTAGCAAAAATTCATATTTCCCTTTTTTCTACAGAATTTTTTCCTTATGTGGTACGTAAAACCCTTCGCTCCGCTAGACTGTGAAACCGAAAGGCAATTAAAATTTTTTTAAAATAACATTAGGAAATTTGTTACAAATTCCATTGAGTGAATAATGCATATGCTTCGCACAATAGTGTATTTTTTAAAAAACGTAACGTTTATTTGCTGAAGCGCCTGGAAAATTATCGTAGTCAAAACAAAAGTTAAAGACTTTATTACTGAACAATGTTTTTTAACAAATATAATTGAAATATTATTATATAAAATTTACTTTCAATCATGCATTTTCTTTTGATATCTTGCAAACATGTGTTTTGCAAGACGCATCGTTTCTTCAGTTAGCAATCCGCAGTTCGTTTCTTTTACTACATTTTCGTTCAATGATGCATTTAGTGGTAATACAAAATCCAAGTAAGGGTTTGTGCCAATCTTATAAGTTTCTATTGCTTCATAAATCGCTCTAAAAAGAGGTTGTTTATTAGAGTGAAAGTTGCCTCTGTTACCGTGTAATAACTTAATTCCTTCAGCCGATACATTACACACACTTATATACATACAGTGATCTGGTCGATAATTATATTCACAAGGCAACAGAAAGAGGGCGTCTATAAGAGATTAAGTTTTAAAGTTTATTTAAAAGCATACATATACATACGTACAATTGTTTTACCTGAATTATAATAAAAAAACACATTAATTATGTCCTGGTCACCCCAAGTGATACGTAATTTATACTCATTATATATGGGTATAATATGTGAAACCCATTTGTGCGTTCGCATTCGAGTGAGATTCATAAGCATAACACCTGAATTTACTCCCATCCGGCCATAGAAAGGATGGCGCGCGAAACGATTGTACCAACCAATGTTTTCATCTTCATGCTCCGAGGTCAGAGCAGCGAATTGGGAAGCATTAAATCGTTCAAAATATTGCCAAATGTCTGATATGGGAGATAAAAATATAACATCTGTATCCACGTATAACAGAGCATCAACTTCAGTCAGTAGCGCCTGGAAAATATTGAAGAAGAGAAAGTAAACGATTATAACTCAGCAACGATTGAGTAGACAGAGAACGACACGCTCAAAGAGCGTAAACGTGAATTAGGCACACTAGAACAATGGGCGCGTTCATAAGTAGTAGCTGTTGGGTAACCGTTGGCTCTTTGTCTTAGAAACGCACAGTTGAGTAGTTACGCTCAGCCCAACAGTTGGCAACTTTCCGCCATTTTTTCCTGCGGGAAATTTTTACGCTACCTGAACTCAACGTGTTGGGCTTAGCCTAAACAGCTGATAGAAAAGACTTACGACGCTTTATTAAATTTAACGCCGCTTTGTTAGGTGACAGTTGCAAACAAATTTATTATATTTTATATTACTGCATGATAAAGTATCTAAAATACTTTATAATAATACTACGTTTCTAAATATATGTTTTTAAGATGTTTGCTATATAATTTTACACTCTTTAATTCATTGTAACATTGAACGATTTTTTCAACACGGCGGCCGCTCAGCGTTGAATTCTAAATAGTATCGGCGCAATTATCTCTATTTGTTGCAATTTCATTTGTTTAGATTTATCAGCTGTTCATTTCGCAGCATATTCATCAAGCCGTTTCTAAGACGTAATTGTTGGGTTCAACAGTAGCCAACAGTTTTGTAGCAGATGAGCTAAACAGCTACGTCTTATGAACGTGACCATTCTCACTTTTAGCTTAAAGTATTTTTAGATAGACCGCTAATCGAGCAATTAGCCAGCCAAGATTTTTCGATTAAGGCGCTGATTGAGCTCGATTTACCATACAAAATTTCAATTCTTAGCAGCTAGATTAGTGCTTAATTGAATGCTAATTGAATGCATTTTTTCACGTAATCAGCAAATAGCAATCAGCTGTTTGTTTCTGGTCCTCTTTTACAGCAGATATCCCATCAGAAATGGAAAAAAGGAATTTTAAAATTGTACGCAATCTGCAAACACTTTACCTAAATATACCCAAAAAGGACATATGAATTTTTGTATTTGCACATATATTAAGTATTTGGTTTTCTGTTATTTTTTGGCCGTTTTTTATGAAAAATTGTTGCGGAAAAGACAACAATAGTTTATAAATGGTAGAAGTTATAGCAGCTATTTCGGAGATCACCATATCTCCTCATCCTTATCCTCTCTCCATCCTCATCCTCATCAGCTGCCTCAAGCTCAATAAAAATTGTTTATTATGATTTCCCAGGGCAAAAAATATCAAAGAACCAAATTCTTTACGACGAGCACGCACGCCGTAAAAATAGAAATTAACTAAAAAAAAAACAAAAAAGAAAACATGATCAAGTCTAAACAGCAGCACAATAGTTGCCCTTGATTGCAGTTGGGTTAACATATGGAAAAAGTGGTAAAAGCAACAGTTAATAAAATTGTGGAAAAAACAGTAGTCTAGAAATGGTAGAAGTTACAGCTGCTATTTCGGAGACCACCACATCTCCACATCAGTCTGCTTCATCGAATTCACTGGGATTCGACCCAGCAACTCTAGTTTACAAAGCCAGAGGAGACGTGGTGATCTCCTAAATAGCAGCTGTAACTTCTACGATTTCTATACTACTGTTTTTTCCACAATAATTTTTCATAAAAAATCGGCCTCAAGCTCAATAAAAATTGTTAAAAATAACNCAAAGCCAGAGGAGACGTGGTGATCTCCTAAATAGCAGCTGTAACTTCTATGATTTCTATACTACTGTTTTTTCCACAATAATTTTTCATAAAAAATCGGCCTCAAGCTCAATAAAAATTGTTAAAAATAACAAAAAAAAAACACTTAAGGACGAGCACGCCTACAAGTTAACATTTTAAAATATAAATTAAATAAAAAACAAAAACAACAACCACAATAACCACATGATCAAGTCTGTCAAGCCTTTGATTTTGATGGGTTGACATATGAAAAAAGTAGAACAAGCAACAACAGTTTATAAGGCGAACTTAGCGCAGAGGATAGACCACTGGCTTTGTAAGCTGGAGACGCTGGTTCCAACCCCAGTGAACTCGATGAAGAAGCCTGATGAGAAGGTGTGGTGATCTCAGAAATAGAAGCGATAACTTCTCCTATTTATAAACTACTTCTCCTATTTAGAAACTACTACGCACTGAATGTGTACATAATTAAGTGCATACATATACGCATTTGAAGAAAGCAGTCGGTGACCCTATCAAAAAAATAAAGCCTTATTGCACGCCTAACGCTGAGCTCTTTCATTTGACATCTTTTGTTTTTAATGTAACGAACGGTGTGGATCTTATAATTTTTTAGACAGGTGGAAACTATTTAAAAAAATATAAAACTTCATTGCATATCTGGAGGTTAAATTCTTTCATTTAACAACTCACTTTTTAGTCCAGGTGGCAACCCTCTTCGAAGAAATAAAACCTTATTGCACAACTGAAGGCCAAGCCCTTTCATTTGACTGTTTATTTTTTATAATTGCACTTAAGAACAATTATAGTGGGTGTATGTACATTAGGGTGGTCCAAAATAAGTAAAGTAGGATTGTTCTATATCGATAAAAAGTATACCCCTATTTTTTATTTTGAAAAAAGGCGTGAGTACTACGTACTCATGAAATTTGATGTGTAAACATATGCGAACGGCAAAGCATAAAAGTACGTTTACATATAAATATAATCTCATTAGCTGTCAAATTGGTTGTGCTTGTTATTCACACAACTCGAGGAAAAGTTAAACTTCTTCTCTGTGCCACCGTGGTCACTATTTTCAGCTACACACATTATGCTCTTAAAATATATTTTAACTGAATACTTTATTAAGAATACCTTTACAAACCTCTTTTCCTTACTAGCGTCAATTTTTGTTTACTTTTACATTTGACATTCCTCCTCTTCTTCGCAAGTATAATCGATAAAACTAGGTTGGACACCAAAAAGTTATCAGTTTAATCTGGAATAATTTTATAATTATAATTTTGTATGGCTAATCTCTTTTTCTGATTACAGATTAGGGAGTTAAGCTCGAAAATGTTGATAATCTTTTTATATGTAAAGCTATTCACCGTCATTGCGAGAGTCGTGTGGAATTCAAGTCTTTTTTCGAGAGTCAAATCGTATCGAAAATTTCACGTCATTGCCTAAAATTTCCACTCGACTAGTGTAGACAATGCTACTGTTGTCGAGTCGTACAATTTAGCCTAATTTACGACTTACGCAATCAGGCTGATTATTAGACGACTCAGTTACCTACATACACATGTAGGTTAGGTTAGAAATTAAACACTAATTTCAATTAATTTTATTCATTTTGCTGATATAACATTTTTTATTCATTTTCATTTTTAATTCTTTTAATAGATGAAATTATCGGTATGATTGATAAAATATGATACTTGTACTTATATATTTGTGACTCAAGGACGTTAAAATATCTTAAAAGCACCGCATTAATTAGCTTTTAGTTTGAACATTTCTATTTGTATATATTCCTAAATTTAATTTTTCTTTTCGGAATATAATCTGTGGTTGATGTAGTTGAGAGCGATTTTTGGAGAGTTGTGTAGAGATCGAAGCTGCAAGATTTTACCCGATGCTTTTTTTGTTTCGTACGTTTTGCTGTTACTCACTTTTTACTCTCACTTCAGAGAGTGATTTTGCTGTTTGACCTTTTTCCAGGATTGGATCAAAGCTATTATATCATCCATACATATGTATTAGAGTGGTTCAAACATTTTTTTTTTGGAAATTCATAAACGCTACCCCAAATTATTGTTATTTGTGATAAAAAAAAAGAAACGTGATTTTTTTATTTTGAAAAAAAAGTTTTCTTAGAGGTCGCGCTGGTCGGTTTTTTATAAAAACGCTGATGTTCTCAATTTTTTTATTTTCTTGACATGTTAAAATGCAACTAAAAATTTGTTTTTACATATAATTACTCTGGTATTATTGGGGAACATTCCCTTAATTACATACCTGTCTTGGGCAGTTAGAATGGGTCTAGTGCCCGAAAATATGCTCTCGAAAAGAGACTAGTAAAGTTAAATCGTTGATACTGAACGATTTACGCATTGTCATGGGTTGGAACTTGTTACCACGGTATTTCTGGGATTGCTAATTAGGGATCTGAAGTGGGGTTTTTCGAAATTCAAAATGGCGGTCCATTTTTTTAAGAAATGATTGGATTTGTTCGAGACCCGACACTCGAGAGTTTTTGGGTCGCCTATTACGAACCTGAAGTCAATTTTTTTAAATTCAAAATGGCGGATCCAATATGGCGATCAAATTAAAAAAGCACTAAAATTAAAACGTTGATACTGAAAGTTTTAAACATTGTCAAGGGTTAAAACACGTTTCCAGTGGGTTTGTGGGGTTGCTGATTACGAATCTGATGTCAGATTTTTAAAATTCAAAATGGCGGTTAAGAGTTTCAAACAAATCCAATCATTTTTTTAAAGTTCGTCGCCATTTTGGATCCCCCATTTTGAATTTTAAAAATCTTACATCAGATACGTAGTCAGCAACCCCAAAAACCCATTGGAAACGTGTTTTAACCCTTGACAATGTTTAAAACGTTCAGTATCAACATTTTAATTTTAGTACTTTTTTTTAATTTGATCGCCATATTGGATCCGCCATTTCGAATTCATGAAAAATAAGTAAATAAATTTTCTTTCGGATATTGTATCCGGTAGTAGATGAACATTTGACATTGGTAATTTGTCTTTAATCTACATATATATGTACATACATACATACATATGCGTTGGCGTTGGAAGACACTGTTTCACTTCAACAGATAATAAAACTCAGTTATTTTTTTAACAATTTTTTCTTAGTAACTATATTTTATAGGACCGCCAAGACCCATAGAAAATGCCAGAAAATGCCTTGGGGGTATAAATAAAAAATCTTCATTATTAAAAAATGGTTAAGTAAATAATTGGATATTGTTATTGGAAGTATCCTGAAGAGAACCAGAGCTCTCCGATTCAAAAATATTGATTTTCAA